CGTCAGCAGCATTTCAGTACTGTGATGGAGCAGAGAGGCGGAAGGACCTTCGTTCCTCGCCTGGTTCCTCTATGATTCATTGTTGCGGAAGGATTAGCCAGCATTGTTTTGGCGTCGAATAAACTGGCTGCTGTTAAACTCGACTGTCTACCTGCGCCGATTGTCTGTCCATCGTTTTAGGCATGCGTTTTGCACAAGAAATTGCCGCGGTCGACAGTAATGTTATTTTCAGTGTACACTTCGCCTCACAGAATTTTATTGATGTCATTCTGAAGGGTGTCCATCCCGGCTCACAGACTCGACAGCGGACTAGATACCTGTTTTCTGGCTTCTATGATGTGAACTGAAGATGGCCAAGCATGTACCTGGCGTGAGAGTGGACGTTAAGAATTTCACGTTGGGCTCTGCTGGCCTACAAATATCCACTCGACCGTCCACAAACAAACGGCTGGATCAATCTGAGAGTCAAGTTACTTGGTCAGCGATAAAGGCAGAGAGAGGAGAACAGAAAATGCTGTCTGAACTTCGACTTGCGTTAGTGGAGTGCCCTTAACGAAGGCAAATAAGGTAACAGGGCGGTTAATTTCCAAAAGACTTGGAAAACTTTTGCTTCGTACCAAAATACCGCCACCCACCGTGTTAGAATTGATCCCACATGGAATGCTTTGTAGTTGTCAGTAAATAATTGGAAGTGCAGAATGGTGATCAGTTGAACCTTAGTGCTTCGGGACGACGCCTGACTTTAGGTTCGTTAGCCCAATTTTAAACTGTTTAACTCTCTCGGTTGAGGCTTGCGGAATTTAACACTTCCGTCCATGCAAGTTTTCTCATCCTCGGACGCTAACCAACAGCGCCTACTCCTTAAATGCTTATCAGCAGCTTAAAAAGAGTGGAATTGACTGTCGCTACATCCATGTGCCGGAGGTCCTAAAATGACTAAAGTGAACCTTGTAGGCATATGGCAATATGCAAGAAATGTAATATTCCGTGTAAGCCGGCGAAATGGAATTATGCTTATGAGCATTTGCGCAGTGTTTGCGTACACATATTTGATATTTAGATTAGCGGTATTCGATTTCTCGGCTTCCGTCTTAAACGCGATTGAGAAAATTGCGTAGAGGTCAAGGTCAATAAACTATAACAACCGACCGTTAGCCGTAAGCCACAGTTAGAAAATGAGGATTTTCATGGTGAGTTAATGTTAAAATCACTCACACCCTCGGCGATTAGAGAGTTCGGACGCTTAGTGGTACGCAAGTCCCAGCTACGTTATGAATGAACACGATGCACAAGCTCGAACAGCCTAATTAAATGGGTTTTCCAAATTTTGACCGTCTAAGTCACTGAAGTTTTAATTTCTCCATTTTTATTTCTTTCAGCAGCCACCGTAATACCAAATCATTCATGTTGCTTATCAGCCGTCATACTCTGTTCAGAGGGTAAACGGCGCAGCGAAAATTGTTTTCACTCGCTTTCTTCTGTAGTTCATACGGACGATAACCATGAATCCATTCGTACATGTTTGTGTGGGGATTGTTCTTCTAGAAAAGCCTTTAAATGGATAAGATTTTCAGACAGTGTCGATTGATGTTGTCTCGTTAGCCGATTGTTTCGAAGTTCGTGACAGGCTTTTGCGGCTACCGTGGCAGCTTATGATTATGAACCTCACCGTACTTCACTCTCACATGCTATCTTGTAGTTTGATCATTTTCAAGTTTCCTCGACGGGGACGCCGACGGTAGATTGCGGAGAGTGTGGTTTAAAGTTCAGCTTCAGACGATGTTTCGAATTCGAGTTGTTAGCGGTAATTGAAATCTGTAGCTTATGACCATAGCGTGCTATGCGCGTCCTTATTTCTAATGGCGAAAGTCGAGTGTTTGATTTGCTTTTCAGAGGCTTTTAATGGTCAGCTGCAAGCACTGAAAGGTACGGTGGTAATTGGTAAAACGCCTTCTGTGACAACATATAAAGTACATTGATTTATTGTTGTCGGAACACTGTTTCGAATCACGCTGCGGAGCGGAGTGCCGTTGTCATTTATGTGTGCACTAAACGTAAGTTCGGCTGTTTGTTGTTGACTGCGGTGGAAACTGTGCTAGATCGAGTGTAATTTCTGGTTGTGCGTGAGGAAAGGCGATACGAGGCATGACACATTTAAAATAACATGTAAATGGAAAGATTGACGCGAAAATATCACCGTGCGACATTTCTTCCTTCAGGTATATTTCGTGAATGCACGTAATTGGTTTACTAGAGGTATTCAGGTAAAATTTCACGTTTTCAGTTCTGAATTCCATTGTGAAAATGCAACGGATTTGTTTATCGATTCTTAGTGGCACTCAATGAAGCTGATGTGAAAATTTTTATTGCCGTCGAGTTTCGTTACCGCATTTGTGACACGACGATGTTGTCGATATGGTAGCAAAATACGTCGTCAGTGAAAGCTTTACCACCAACTTTGTTTAATACCCTGAACAGTGGATCGTCGAATCCGATTTAGCAAAAACACTCACTTAGAACTTCGATTCCAGCTGTCCTGCCGCAGTTCTTCCATCTTTACGGAGATGGTCAGCACAGGGGTAGTCGAAATACACTATGATGATGTTTACATAACCTGCTAGGTGTTCCTTAATAAAAAATATGTTTGTTAGAAATAATTACCAACATTGCTGCTTTCCAAGAAAGGCGATCGAGAAGACTTGAAAGACTATAAGCGTCTGTTTTTGTTATTCCATGAATATATGCTGTACACGAAAAGTTCTATAAAATCGTTTGACCAAGAACTCGAGCGAGCCAATCAAGCAGACTGAATTTCTCCGAAATTATTCCACACTCGACCACGTCCAAGCATTGAATTATCTGCTCGAGGAGTGTAATGACTGCAGATTGCTTATCTACAAGATATTTATCGATTATGACAAATGACGTGGTGGTGAATGAAGCAGTTTTACATGCGTTGAAGTAAGAAATTGAAGATTAATTGCCAAATTGTACAAGAAGTGTATTTCAGCTGCAGCCAAAAGATTCAGCTGTTCGAAGAACCAGTTGGAATTAAGGAATTAAGGTTTCTCATAAAGTTTGTCAAGGAAACACCATTTTACCCAAGCTGTTTACCGTGAGTCTTGACTCGATGTTATGCAAAGTAATATTGTATGGAGTATGTTAATTCAACTGCAGACGCCTTATGCTCATCTTCGATCTTCTGAAGACACCGTGCTCTCAGGAACCAAGGTAAAAGAAGCTAAAACCATGCTATACGAGTTAGATTTAAAGAGCAAGCAAATTGGATTTCGGATTAACCGGGTGAAGATGAAGGTGATGAAGAACTAATTCTTACAACGAGTTTTAGTGACCATGTATTATGGCGAAATAGAAGTTACCAAGCATGTCTGTTTAAGGCAGCTAATTGTGTCATACCGCGCCTTCGGTTCAGCTCGCTATTAGGCGTCGTGCGGCTTTGAGTACTCGTGAAAGCAGAAAGTTACCAGATGCGGTTAGAACCATACTGTATGAAAGTACGGTATTGCCAGCTGTTATGTATGGTTGCTAGATGTGGACATCAACGAGGAAAGATGAATAACTGCTAAAAGTACAGCAGCGGACTGTGGAAAGAATGATTTTAGGAGTCCATTATTGTCCATCAGCGACAAGTTTTAAAATGAAGAAATGAGAAGACGCACTGGAATACAAGCCATAGTATCAGTTTCGCAAGAATGAAAAATGGGCAGGTAACATCGTGCGGCTGACAGACGATATGGACTTCAGCGGTGAACGTCTGGTACCCAATAAACTGCAAGCGCCCAACTAGAAATTTTTGGCTCAGATGGTACGATGGGTTAAAATATAGATGTGGAAACTTGTGGAGAAAGATCGTTCGAAACAGAAGGCATGGACATCGAAATCAGGCGGTGTTGATCATCGTTAATCATATGTCAGTTGTTGTTTTTAATGTTCATTTCCTCTTTTCGTAAGCTCTGAAAGCATACATCTTTATGACAGGAGCCCCAGGATCTTTGTGCTTCACTATTCATCGCACTGTGATGCGTTTAACAAACGTATGATTTTCCTTTTGTTCCTAACCGATAAGTAACAATGACAGTTTCGCTCTGCTGCTTTGATTGGCTCTCCTTGGCATTTTGTCATCCGTCGTAAGGCTGTTTCGACAGCGACGTGCGTCTGTAATAGAAAATCGTTAAACTTTCCACCTGACGACGATGTGTGCTTCTAGATGGCTTCAACGCCCTAATGGAGGAGTACGACTACCTCATTAAGGTGTTAACGCTCGGCGACTCTGGTGTCGGCAAAACCTGTCTCCTCTACCAGTACACTAATCACACGTTCATCAAGAACTTCGTTTCAACGGTCGGCATCGATTTTCGAGAGAAGAGAGTGGTAAGAAATTTGTTTTTGTTTGCGTTATTGTACTACGTTGACAGAACTCGCACAGTTGTCGTTGTCACGCCACACTGACAACTGCTCTTCTGGTGGTAGCCGACCGTCTGCCATCTGACTCCATCCTCACGGTAACATCGGCGAAAGTAGTATGATGTACAAGACATGGAGAACGGGGTATCTGACGTTTTCTCTTAAAAACGCTTGATTTATTGAAGGTGAAGTTTTGTTTACGGCTATGCCGCCATGAGACCAGGAGGGCACATGCCAAAACCCCCTTCTCTGCACTTTGGTTTCATTCACTTTGTCTTTCAGCATTCTTTGCTGTTCAACAGACTTTCACTATGAAGGTGTGCTTTCAAGTGGAAATCGCCGTTCAAATGGCATGTTACTGAGTTCAAGTACTCGTTTATTCACGCGTACTACAACGTGGCTATCAGCAACAGGACTTGAGCAATTTATCTTCTTAAACAGTATCAAGATATTATACAAATAAACAGTAATGAGGTAACAGCAAACAGTAAGCTACATCATTACGATCGTATCATAATCCCTAGTAGGTTGGCAGTTAGATTCTTCTGCTCTGTTAATAGTATACTCTTCATAACACTCCAATCCGTGGTAAAACAAGAGACCAAGAACCAAAGTTTGATTTTTGCGCTTTCTGCAACAGCTATAAACTTTTTTACATCAGACAGGCAGTAATATCAAGGGAAAGAAGGTAGAACGTATGTGCATATTAGAAAATGTTAAAAAGAAAAAAGTGCATTGCAAGGTCGAATTATGATACAAGCAAAGGTCTTGTTGTCGTCAAGGAGAATGCGAAGGCAACTTTGCAGTAGTGCGGCGTTGCTTAATCGACGGACATGGAATATATCAGCAGTGCATAAGCGGAGTTGTGGTTAGAAGAATTTCATGCTTAGAGAGATCAAAGACATTCAGTTCATCTGAACTAACAGAAACAAAGACCTAGCTTAAGACTTCAGCTGTTATAATGACAGACTGCCAATTTTCAAGTCACACTGCAAAAAAGGAGATGCAACGGAAAAAGAAGAGAGAAACAAGCAGGAAGTTTTAGATATTTTATTCGCCTTGGCAACGTAGTTGTTATCGGCATAAAGGGATGTTTTCATGACATAAGACAATGATGAAATCCGTAATTTTTCATCGCCCGGAGCATCTCGAATTTAGGCTGCTTACTTATTTGACTTATTCTAGAGTCCTTGACGTGAAGAACAATGAACCGAGGATAAAATTGAAATTCTGTGTGGTTTGTACTAGTGAAATCAACGGTAATCCAGAAATGAGACGTTGGTGCTGAGTTTCCTGTAATGGATATGAATATTACCGACTTAATCCTTCTAAGATACCTCTGCTATTTCGCTTTTATTTGCTGCGACCGTCCGAAACCGTTAAAACGGCCCTCTGAAAACACTTTAAAAAGACTTTGTTCTACACATGCTTTGTGTACAGTAAAGTCCTTTTTATCTGTTAATATGATTTTCGTTTTCCACAGCGAAAAGTCTTTTCGATCCCTGAAACCTCAGAGCCTCATCCGCGCGTGCACTTCCTTATCATTTCAGCTTCACTCGTTTCTGCGCGAAAGAGGGAAAAGCAACGACTGATACTTACGCGAGGTAGATGATGCTTTAACGCTATGTCTATACGAGTTCGTTTAGATTTATAAAAGCCCTTCGCTGGAAACAGGTGGCCGCGGTCAACGCGTTGTTCTGCAACTCTGGGATACTGCCGGACAAGAAAGGTATCTCCTGACTGATCATGCTTAATTAATAGAATTAAATCTCGACCTTGCAGCGAATAAGACAGTCGTCTTACTTTTCTAGACTGTGGTGTCTTCTGTTATGATATTACCGGCTTAAGTACTCTAAACTCAAAGAAAGTTCGCCTGTTCATTAGTGCCAGTTAAAGTTTTGACGGTAACTCGGTGATTCTTCCGCTAGGAGTTTTCGGGGACGGGCAGGCAATGAATTAAAGTCAGGTTTGTAAAACATGCTGAAATCGTATAAATACTTTTTGTGATAGTCAAAAGTACTTATGATATTGCGCAATTAATTGTAAAAATTAGTTTTTGACACCACCGGTTAGAATCACGCGTTAGTAACATAATGGTGTGTTAACAGCATAACGATCTTTCTTTGAATTTATCCCTCGTAATTGTGCCTTCTCTTGGCTTTTAGAGGCCTGGAAGACCTTTTAAGGATGTCAGATACCATGCATTGTAACACAGGCAGTGTATGAATGCAAAACCGCGCCCCTTTCTCGGACTGAATAAAAATATACTTGAACAAACTATAGTGCCTTTATCTTCAAGTATATGACAGTCAACATCGTACATCAGACAATTACATCAACCGGCACAGTACCGACAGTGGCAGTTCATAATCGGAATTTAGAACGTGCTTTCCTTTGGAGGAAAAGAACGTGAGTTGATGGAGCCGCAACGAAGCGCCAAGGCTCTGGAATTCTGAAACTCTGTCGGTGGGTGGAAGCTATTCTAATCAGTTCAGTGTTAGTGTAGAGCCCAACCTGACTGACAGAACCAATGAATGTAAGCCTGTTATGGATAACTGACAGCCCTTCGCAGCGTAGAAGTTGCTGCACGCTAAAACTTTGGCCTTGTTACAGGTCTCTACGCCCAGTTCGGAGGGAAAGTAGCTCCTTCCTGGATGAGGTAATTGATGCTCTTAAGGAAATACATCTTCTGATGGGCAACTTCATTGCTTGTGTTGGAGCAGACACAGAACTGTATACAGGCGTGAATAGAAAGAACGGCCCTAGCGACTTCAGCAGTGATGACATGAAGTTGTTGCGCTTTTGTAATTGACGCACGTCTGTCATGAACACCTCATTCGACCATCAAAACTTGCAAAGGCATGCACTATATCGAAAACTTATGTACAGGTGTCGATGATCGAATCGTCTGACTTACAACGCTCTCTAAAGGACGTTCCCGTTAAAAGAAGTGCAGAACTGTCAACCGGTCAACACGTTTTTGACACCCTCGGCTGCAAATGACGGATCGCCATCCAAAGAACTGGTATCAGAATAATCTAGAGAATCATATGGGATTCATTATTTTCTGCGGATACGAGGGCGAGCTAGCAGACCACTTGACGGCTGAGTGAAAGCTGCGTAAAAGCGAAGTAGTCTAGAATGCTGTGGTTTAAAACGTGTTGAACTTCCGCCTCAAGGTCAGAAACGAACTCTGTGATAGACACGACGAGCTGAACTGGCTGTCAACGGTAGGAAAGCTTCATTCGGGAAATGGCTAGGAAACAAAAAGCCTAAAGCAGGAATGCGTTACGATGAAGCGCGTAAGGCGTCAGTTAGAGCGATGGCTAAGGTGAAGGTTGATTCATGGAAAAAGTTCGATGATGTGCTGGAATCGAATTTTCAGACACAATGTATTGCGGAAAGCCATCCGCCGTTTCCGAGGTGCAGTGTGAGGCGGTCTAAGAGTCTCCTGAAGTACTAGTCTGTACGCCTTCATAGAACATATTTCAGCGATAGAAAGAGTACTTTGCGAAACTACAGGAGATTCGCCTGAAGAACATCAGGGAGTGGATAATAATATTTCAGTTGCTATTTCAGTTGATAAAGTTGTAGAATCTGTAATAAGCTTGAAAAGCGGCGTGGCTGCTGGAATCGATAAAATCTGCTCTGAGGTTTTTAATAAGGGATGTTTGGCTAACATTTGGCTGACAAACCGCAGTGACTACGGGGAAGACACCAATGGAGTGGATAACTGGCAGCTGCAAGATTCAGGCCGAAGCTTTTCTGATCAGTTCTTCGTGCTGAGCCAGATTGTTGAGAAATTGTAGGAATTCTCATCCGGTATTCGCGTGTTTGTAGATTTGAAGAAAGCTTATTACGTGATTCGGCGCAGCAAGCTATATGCATGCCTTCTGAACTGGATGGAGGACCGGTTGTTACGAGCCAACCAGTCATTATATGCTATCAGCAGGTGATGCTCAAAGTGAGCATCATTACGTCATCGTTGGCACTAGTCGTCGCCAAGTCTGCATCGTGTCCCTTCTCCTGTTTGCATTGTACATGAACGGTGTTATCACACACAGTCAGAACTACGAATGTATCGGTAGGAGATGTTGAGACGTGAAGCTTGCTGTTTGTAAGCGATCTTGTTTGATTGGTACTGATCTCTAGCGCTCGTAAATGGAGGAGCTGTGAAATAGGTGGAGAAATTCATGTGCCTCGGGATGGCATTTACTGGGGATTGAAAATGATAGGAGGTGATCGACACAAAAATTGGATTAGCCAGCTGCGTTTTCTTTTTCTATCCGTTACCATCCATTACCGTTTTGACTAAGGTGGCGCTAAGTCTGAAGACAAAGCTGTCTATGTTATAGTCGGTTTTTATCCCCATGTCCACCTGTGGTCATCAGTTGCGGACCATGACAGAAAAACTGTGATTCCAGATACAAGCGGCTGAAATGGGTTTTCTGAGACGAATCTCTTCTCTCAATATGATTTGGAGTTCATAGATCTGAGACAGACTTGGTGTAGAGCCGCTGCTTCTCCAGGCTGCGAAGTCACAGCTGCGATGGTCTGGGCACGTATTGCGAATGGTTCCAAAAGGGAATGAGAAACAGCTACTATTTGCTCAACGGAACAGCCGAAGACTTCGTGGGTACAAATGACCTGGGGTAAGTACCTGAACGGACTTTGCTCCATACTCGCGTTTTGTTTTGCCAAAGCTGAGACTTTGACGCAGGATCAGGAGGTTGTAGACGTTGTCTGATGCCGCGGCTGCCATAAGGAATGTGCGGCCATCGAAGCTGACTGATTTATAATTAAAATTACCCATGATATTCTTTCTTACTAATGAACGTTTCGTTTTGATTCCTTCTGTTTGAAGAACAGACCAGGTTTTCTTCCGGATTTACACGAAAAATTCCCTCCTTTCTTCTGGAAGCCAAAGGGAGACCATTGAACAGGCTGTGACTCCATGACCTTATGGCAATTGCACTACATGGATAAGCAGAACGTTTTTGAACAGCAACCTGTTTGAATATCAGCTAAATGCTTTCCACCAACTAATATACAATGGGAAATAACCATAATTTTGTTAGATTAATAAAAAGTATTTTTTCATTTCACCGCTGGTTAGTTGTTT